AAGAAAATATATTTCAGATACAGTGGTACCTTGGGTTACATACACTTCAGGTCACATACACTTCAGGTTACATACTCCGCTAACCCAGAAATAGTACCTCAGGTTAGAGCTTTGCTTCAGGATGAGAACAGGAATCACGCTCTGGCGGACCTTAAGAACGGACCTCCGGAACGAATTAAGTACTTGACCTGAGGTACCACTGTATTTGGGGTTAAGTCATCTACACTGACTGTTGGTGGTTCATCAGGATGCCAGATAGAGCATTCCCCAGTCCCACCTGGAAAAGCCATGGTCTGAACCTGAAACCATTTTCATGTGATGCCTGTGCTCTGCCCCCAAGCCAAGGCCCCTTAAAATTCACGTGAATGTTTGTTGTGAAGATCCACAAATAGGAAGAGTCCAGGATCTGATTGATCACCAACAGGAGAAACATAGTTATTAAATTTCTCCTGCCAAATTCCACCCCACCCCCTTCCCCGGCATCCTGATCAATTTCTGAGAGAGAGATTAAAAAGTGCAGCTGTATTTTGTATTAAATCTTGGCTTTTCCTCACACACTGATCTGAGCTGCCCCGCTTCCCTTTTCTCAAGCCTCCTCATGTCAGATTAGTATCTCAATTGATCATCTAGGCTTTTGACAAGTGTCAGCTGTCAAATATATTGTGATTCATAACATTTAGGGGCCTATTGACCTGAAAAGGAGAGAGGGGTAAAATACCTTTATCCTGTAAGTACCCAAGGAGACACTTGGTCCACTTTTCATCAGTTCTTACCATGGAAACGTTGAGGAGGGGTGGGGAAATTGCACAGAGTCTGAAATACATGGACCGCATCTTCTCGTTTTTACTACAAGGTTATATAATATTTTGAATTTTCTGAAGAACAGCTGTATGGGTTATACAACCACCGCACCTCTTCCATCGAGGTGCCCACTTTGTAGATTGCTCTCCCTACCAAAATTAGGTGGCCACCTAAGAAGAACCTGCTGGATCAGGCCAAAGACCCATGTATCCCAGCATCCTCTTCTCACAGTATCCACCCAGATGCCTATGGGAAACCCTTAAGCAGAACCCAAGCGCAAGAGCATGCTGCCCACCTGCACTTTCTGGCATTGCCATGGGATCAGAGTGTAGCCACCTTGGCTACTTTAGAGTCAGGTGCACTGGCTTGCTCCCGTGATAGAGGGGCCCGGCATGTGCGACGTGCTCACATCATGTCATGTCACGCACACTGCACGACATGCTAATGTCACTCATGCACACAGCACGACTTGGTGATGTGTTGCGTGCATGCCTCATGGCTTGTGCACATGATGTGTGCACGTCAGCACAGAATATTGAAGGGGCCTGGCTCCTTCCTTGAAAATTTTGGGAGGGTCCTGGGTCCCTTGCTGCCACCCCACCCCCACTGGATGGCGCCCCTGTTTGGAGTGCTTTCACTGGCAGTTAAAGACTCATCTGGTTCATCCTGTCTTTTCCTGGACCTCTAGTATCAGCGCTGGATGCCTTGTTATTGTAATGGGGTGCTTTGTTTTGTTTTTTACTGATGATTATAGTTTCATTGAAGTAGAATAGAACTGACAATGGATACAACCTCTTGAGTTTTTAATCTGGTCTTTTCAGACTTGCAACTTGTGTTTTATTGCATATCCACCAGAACAATGTTTTATGCAGATTTCATTTTCTTTTCTTTTTTTTAGTATTCTGTTTTCATATTGTGCTTTACTCCTTTCATCTTCGTGAGCCAGCCAGAGAACAGAGGGTATTGTCTGGCCACACAAATATAGTTAAGAATAAACGAAAACATGTATTTTGAAGAAGTCTGTGGTAGGGTTGCCAATTTTGGTCCTACACCTCTGACGTCATAACGGCAGCCTGAAATGCAGAAATGTTGCAGATAATCAAGGACGTTACTGCCCCAGTGGCTTCCTTTTTAATCTCCATTTTACCCAAAAGGGTTCTTAATGAATCATCCCTCTAGGGAATAGACAGGGTGAAGCAGAACAATCAAGTGCCTTGTGATCCTCAACAGCCTCACTCCTGTCCCTTTTAAATTTATTCTAGCGTTTTGAAATGTTTTAACTTGTAATGCCAATAAACGTATTTGTATTTGTACAGATAATCATATAATCTACCATGGAAATAAAATAATGGGGAACTTTCACCTGCTTAATTTCTATGTGTCAGATTAACAGAGCATGATGACTCATGCTAGGTCAGATTAGGTAAAGGTAAAGGGACCCCTGACTATTAGGTCCAGTCATGACCGACTCTGGGGTTGTGGTGCTCATCTCGCTTTATTGGCTGAGGGAGCCAGTGTACAACTTCTGGGTCATGTGGCCAGCATGACTAAGCCGCTTCTGGCAAACCAGAGCAGCACACGGAAATGCCATTTATCTTCCCGCCGGAGTGGTACCTATTTATCTACTTGCACTTGACGTGCTTTCGAACTGCTAGGTTGGCAGGAGCAGGGACTGAGCAACAGGAGCTCACCCCGTCATGGGGATTCGAACCACCGACCTTCTGATTGGCAAGTCCTAGGCTCTTTGGTTTAACCCACAGCGCCACCTGCGTCCCAGGTCAGATTACTGGTCCATCAATCCCAGCACTGCCTAGTCCAGGATTATCAGAGAGCAGCCAGAATAAGTATGAGCACATAGTTGAACTAGGATGCACTCCCACACTGAGGCAGCGATAGCCAGCCATTTGGATGACTTTAAAAGAGGCTTGGACAAATACACAGAGGAGAAGGTATTGTCTCTGCTGACAGGCAGGAACTTGCTGGGGTTTCAGGTATGGGGCATTCCCATCCCACCTGGAGATGCTGGGAACTGAACTTGGGACCATCTATGTGCAAGGATTATGCTCTGTCACTGAACTATAGTCCTTCCACTATCCTTCCACTAACAGAACTACTTTGATGGGTACCACCTGATATACCCCATACACCTCCCTAAAATTATTTTTCCAACCCCAAGCAAAATTTAAGGACATAAGAAGAGCCTGCTGGATCAGACAAATGTCTAATCTAGTTATCACAGTCCCCACCCAGATGCCTCCATGGGAAACCTGCAAGCAGGAGCTCAGCACTGGAGCAATCTCTCCTCTTGCAGGTTCCAGCAACTGGTATTCAGAAGCGTTAATGCCCCTGGCCAGGAATCTTCCCATTTTTCCCTTCCTTCTCCCTCATTCTCTCTCTCCTCCCCCCTTTCTCAAAACTCCTTTTCAGCTGCCTATCATTGTGGTCTGCCTTATAAACATCTAACACAGCCATAAACAAACTAGGGGTGGAGGCGAGGCAACTCTTCAAGGGGAGGGGATAACAGCTGTTTTGCACCATTAGAAAACAAAATCATCAGCCACTATTAGCTAGATTTAGCCATTTAGAAGAGCTGTAGACAGTGCCAGAATTAGCCAGCGACAAGTGTGCTGTTTTAGAACTAAAACAGCTTCAATCAACCCTCCTAGCTGTTGTTGTTGGGTTTTGTTTTGGGTTTTGTTTTTAATATAAAAGCATTTAAAAGCCAGCCATTTAGCAACACAGTGTTTGGGGGAGGAAAAGAGCTTTGAGAATTTAAACAGGTGCTTGAAAGAAACTTCCAGGTTTATTTCATCGTATATCTTCTTTTATGGGATTTTAGGTAAACGTAATGGTAAAAGTGCCAGATCTTAGGGCCGCCGCTTCTTACAGAATGTTTTGTATTTGGAACAGATTCCCAGGCTCATATGTACTCAGTGGTGGCTGGTGCCCCACATTGAGACTGACAGAGCAGAAGTCTAGGAGCCCAACAGTATCTGATACCTGAGCCAATGGCAGACAGAGCCAATGTATTCTGGTTTTGTCCTCCTCCTCCTTGTTGAGTTCTACAATGGCAATCCTGAGACTGAGAAGCGGAAGGAATCAGACATGCCAACCCATAGGCTGGTTGGAAGAAAGAAGGCAGGTGAGTGGGGCCTGGCTGAGGGTAGACTGGTCTTCATGTAGGGTGGTGCTCTCACTTGTCCTGATGGACCGGCCTCCACCGTATGTACTTAGGACCAACTCTCTTCTGCCCACTCCTGCCAGCCCTCCTTCAAGGGCTAGCTCCCCTCAGGCGAAGGGACACCAAGCTAAGGAAGAGATCAAGGGCTGCAGCACCGCACAGAGAGGAAAGTGGCCTTTTCCTGAACAACTCCCCAAATTCAATCCCTAGTATTCCAAGTGAGCGAAGACTCCTAACTAAAACCCTAAATAGTCACTGTCAGCCAATACAGTGGTACCTCGGGTTACAGACGCTTCAGGTTACAGACTCTGCTAACCCAGAAATAGTACCTCGGGTTAAGAACTTTGCTTCAGGATGAGAACAGAAATCGTGCGGCGGTGGCACGGCAGCAGCGGGAGGCCCCATTAGCTAAAGTGGTACCTCAGGTTAAGAACAGTTTCAGGTTAAGAACGGACCTCCAGAATGAATTATGCTCTTAACCCGAGGTACCACTGTATAGACAAAACTGAATTAGATGGACCCACATAATGAAATGATATAATGCACACTCTGTGTGGTGTTAACTTGCTTCAGGCAGGGGTGGGAAACCTCAGACCCAAGGATCCAACGTGGCCCCCAGAATTTCCTTTCTGGCCCTTGGGACTCTATGGCCTGGAATGTGTTCTGGAACTCTCTTAAGGACTCTGTTTGCCTGGATGAAGGAAAGACAGGGGTGTGAGAGTGTGTAAAAACTAGCCTACTTCAATCTGATTCTTTCCTTCCCTCTGTTACATACTGTTATTGCCTCTTCTCTCCCTTCCCCTCTTTCCATTTCATTGCTGCCCCTATATATAATTTTATCTAATGCTGTTCTCATTGTTAATTCATCAAAAGATTTCTGCGCTGCTTTTCATTTACAATTCAGTTCATACTGAATTCAGTTCATACAGTTCATACAATTCATACTGCTTCACACTACATTGCTTGGCAGTAGCTCTTTGAGCTTTCAGGTAGGGGATATTCCTGCAGCCCTGCTTGAAGATACCAGGGATCGAACCTGCAAACTTCTACATCCATGCAGAAGAAATGAAGGGCGATGGAAGAGCATCTGCCTTGCATGCAGAAGGTCCTAGGTTCAATCCTTGGTATCTCCAGAAATATCCCCTTTCTGAAACACTGGAGAGCTGCTGCCAGTTAGTGTGGGCAATACTAAACTAGATGGACCAATGGCCTAACTCAGTACGAAGCAATTTCATGTGTTCCTGTGCATGCAAAGCAGATGTTCTACCAATGAACTATGGTACCGAGAACTCCAGACAGTTCTTGTTTTAGTATTAATATTTTATTGAAAAGGTTTCCAATATAAAGAAATAAAGTGATGCAAAGAAAAAAATAGAAGAAAAATGCAAAGGCTCAAGAATGTGTAGAAAGAAGCACTATATGAATATATACAATATATGAAAAAAATACCCTAACCCATATATTCTTATATAAATTTGATATTAGCCTACTACATTTTGTATAAACACATTCAGAATATTGTCATATTTATCCAAACAAAGCCTACGTCTGTAAGCAGTCTGTTCATAAGCTGTGAGTGTTATCATGTAGTCAATCCATTTACAGTCAAACGTCGGCTCCTGAACGGCTCTGTTTTCGAACAATTCGGCTCCCAAATGCCGAAAACCCGGAAGTAAATGCTCCGGTTTTCGACCATCTTTTTAAAGAGGTCGAACGTCCGATGCAGCTTCTGCTGAGTGCAGTAAGCTCTTGCAACCAACCAGAAGCTGCAGTTTGGTTTTTGAATGTTTCGGTAGCCGGATGGGCTTCCAGAACAGATTATGTTAAACAACTGATGTTTGACTGTATTAAAGGGGATCATATCTTTATTCTTCCAGTTTATCCATATCAGTCTCTTGGCTACCATTAGGGCAGAATCCATTTTCATTGTCCTGTTGCTAACTTCCATACAATAGGTATATAGTTCAGAAGAATGTTCTCCAGACGGTTCTTTGTAGCGGAGGCACACACAAAAATGGTTGACTTCGAAAATACCACAAAAGCAGAGTCTCTGATTTTGAGTGCGACGACACGGCTCCATAGGTTCAGCCGCTGACATGGGCCTGAGAGGGAAAGGGGGGGGGGATGGCAGAAGAGAGACACCAGAGGAGGCCCTCACAGCCACAAGCCATGACAAGGCGACACTCTCCACGGCAAGAGATTGACTGATCTCGCTATAGATCAGATGGATGGTTCTAAATGACCTGTAAAGACATTCCCGGAGCCCAGGGCTGCAACATTAAGAGCCGCGGCAACTACTCAGACTTCTGAAGCAGTTATTAGTGACTGAAGTAGCACTTGTCAACCGATGCTTCAGTTTCAAGTAATGGTTTAACAGCGTCAACGCGAGGAAAGGTTATATCGCTCTCTGGGCCTGGTGTGCCGCTGACACTTAAAGGAAATAATTGGTAGATTTAGAGCTGAGGTAGGTGACTGTGGTAAAACAGGAGAAAAGGTTGGCGGCTGGGAACAGAGGCATCATTGTGAAGCAAGGGGCCTTGAGGGAACCAGGCCAGAAGCCCTGGAACAGAATTCCCAAACCTGCTGAAAGACTGTAGAACCTGCCACAACAGCTGGATTCTTTCTAACCCTCCAGCACTATCTCAAGGAGTTTTCTAAAGTTGCAAAGAGGATAGAAATATAAATCTATAAATTAGTGGGGGGTGGGGGTTGACTTTGCTTTTGATGGGACATTTTTGGAGCATTCTCCAGTCAGTACCACTACCACCACCCTTCCCTTTGAGAGAGAACCACCAACAAAAGGTGTGAAAAAGGTAACTCCAAAGGTGGCCTGTTTCAGATTACCTGCAGTCTGGCTGTGTGATGTTAAAACTGCCAACTGGGTGTATAAATTAGACAGCCACTCGGCTGTCAGCACTATCCAATTAGCCGTGTTTAATTTGGGTGGGTGCTGATGGATTGTGTCGGCAGGAAAGGTGAGTTTTCTGAAAAGTGTTTTGGCAGCCATGGTGAAGAAAGAAGCAGTCGTGACTGGCTGGTAGGTGTTTTGTTTTGTTTTGTTTTTTTCCAGCACGACTACCTGGAAAGATGCTTTTTTTGAAGATTTTTTTAAAAAATACTCTTTGTATTAGGTATTTGACTTTTTCTGGGGGCGGGGGATGCTGTATTAAGAGCTGCACTTATTATTGCTGTTACAGCATTGAAGATTTATTTATTAAATTTGTATACCGCCCTTCGTACAAAGATAACAGGGCAGTTCATAATTCAGTGGTACCTCGGGTTAAGAACTTAATTAGTTCTGGAGGTCCGTTCTTAACCTGAAACTGTTCTTAACCTGAGGTACCACTTTAGCTAATGGAGCCTCCCGCTGCCGCTGCACTGCCGCTGCACTGCCGCCACACCATTTCTGTTCTCATCCTGAAGCAAAGTACTATTTCTGGGTTAGCGGAATCTGTAACCTGAAGAATCTGTAACCTGAAGCGTCTGTAACCTGAGGTACCACTGTATACAAATACAAAATGAGAACAACAAAATACATAAGAAAAACAAAAACAAACCAATAACCCCCCTCCCAAAAACATATTTTAAAGGCCATAGATTGTTTAATCAAAGGCCTGTTTATAGAGAAATGTAAGAGCCTGCTGGATCAGGCCAATGGCCCAACTAGTCCAGCATCCTGTTCTCACAGTGGCCAACCAGACGCCTCAACAGGAAGCCCACAAGCAAGATCTGAGCACAAGAGCAATCTTCCCATCTGTGACTTCCAGCTGTGGATTTTATGCCTGTGGGTCAGTAGAAATGTGCAGGGCTACCCAACCTTTGAGGACAACAGCCCTCAAGCCAGGGATGGCCAACCTGCGGCCCAGCAAAAGTTGTTGGGCTCCCACTCTCGACAGTCAATGGCCCAATGGGCAGGGATGATGGGAACTGTAGTATTGTAGCATCTGGTGAGGCACAGGTTCCCCACCCTTTCCCTATGCAATGTGTGATTGGCATCAGGCCGAATGGGGTGCTTCTACAGCAACTATTCACATATACACTCGGGTTAAGTACTTAATTCGTTCCGGAGGTCTGTTCTTAACCTGAAACTGTTCTTAACCTGAAGAACCACTTTAGCTAATGGGGCCTCCTGCTGCTGCCGTGCTGCTGGAGCATGATTTCTGTTCTTATCCTGAAGCAAAGTTCTTAACCTGAAGCACTATTTCTGGGTTAGCGGAGTCTGTAACCTTAAGCGTATGTAACCTGAAGTGTATGTAACCCAAGGTACCACTGTATAGAGTTTCCCAGTCAATAAGGGCTCCTACCCAAGGAAGAAAATGCTACCCCCTATACAAAATTATATATATCGACCAGGGGATGTCGCATTTCTGTCAACCTGATCTGGAGGAGCCAGCTCCATGAGTCCCTGCTTAAGTTAGTGAAAATAATATACAAAATTCATTATATTACAGGAAATGACTTTGCAGAAATGTATATGTTAGGCAGAACTGCATTCAAGTGTGTATATTGGGGCAGATTTGCACTAAAACGCTGGTCTGTTTTCATGAGGACTTAAAAGTAAAGAAAAACTTATGGGGAAAGCAAAATTAACACAGCATATATCACAAGAGCATATTTTTCAAAGTGAGTCCAGCCCTACAGCCTTTCACCCACCCCAGCTCAGGTGTCTAACCCAAGCTTCCAATTGGTCAGTGCCAAACACGGAAATGGGGAGGTGGGAGACCGGTGTGATATCTCCGCTGACAAAAGTATTTCTTTCCAACAAAAGGGGCCGAGGCTTTCAAATCTTAAAAGGACTCCAGTAGCTGAGCCCCCCGGGAAATGCATTCAGTCAGAGTGCGCTCCTCTGGCACGGCTCCCAGACAGCTCTGTGTGAAGTCTAAATATGCTGTCCCCAAAGACAGTCCTCCGGGGTGATGGGGTGGGGGGGATCACAGCATCTCTAGGTTGCCCTGCAGGAAGGAGGAGATCACAGGTTATTTTCCTCCAGAGAGCAACTCTTTTAGTCAGATCATTTATCCGGGGAAAGAGAGAAGAATCTGTCTCTGTTTCAAACTCCAGCCCTTTCATTTTCTTGTAAATACCCTCATGTTGGACTTCATTTGAGCAACCCGTGCCCTCAAAACTACCTCAGGCTACTGTGTTCAAGCAGGCCTTCCGTTTACCACATAGAGCAGCACTTGTCAGACAGAGGCAAATTTCCCTTGAAGGAGGGAGATTTCGTTCAGCGGCAGAGGGAAGAGAAGAAAGTATTTCTCAGAAAAGAACAAGCAGGTAGCAGTCCGTTTTTGCCAGACTCAAGTGAGCTCCAATTGCTGCTTCTTCATCAACAATGCAGGCCTCTGTGTGTTTTAACTTTAAGGACATAAGAAAAGCCCTGATGGATGAGGCCAAAGGCTCATCTCATCCAGAATTCTTTACTCACTGTGAGCAACCGCACCTTGTTGGACTGAATTCTGCAGTTTAGGTATGCACCGTGAGGGACTATATTCTGCACCATGAGATCGATACTGGCATGTTCTTTGCATGTGATATTGATGGCATGGAGTGGGGGTGGAACTGACCTGCATACAGCAGTAGGCTGGTCTGTCTGCAAAACCAATATAGGGTAGATAAGAGCAGTGGACTCTTAATCTGGTGAACTGAGTTTGATTCCCCGCACCTCCACATGCAGCTGCTGGGTGACCTTGGGCTAGTCACACTTCTCTGAAGTCTCTCAGCCTCACTCACCTCACAGAGTGTTTGTTGTGGGAGAGGAAGGGAAAGGAGATTGTTAGCCACTTTGAGACTCCTTAGGGTAGTGATAAAGCGGGATATCAAATCCAAACTACTACTACTACTACTACTACTACTACTCTTCTTCTTCTTCTTCTTCTTCTTCTTCTTCTTCTTCTTCTTCTTCTTCTTCTTCTTTACAGAGGTTCTGCCTACTGCTCTGTAGGTTTATTTGTTGACAGATATTTACAGACCGCTCCTATGTGCAGAACTCCAAAGCAGCTTGCACAGAAATAATGATAAAAAATGAACAACAATAAAACACAAAACTCTCCAATATAACTGTAATAACGCCCACTATTATACGTACTTATGCAGCCCAGAAACAGAGCACAATTTTTAACAATTTAGCTCCCCACACTTCAATAATATTTGTTTGTTTATTAAATTGGTATACCACGCTTCATCTGAAGATCCCAGGGTGGTTCGCAACACAAAATCACAACATAAAAACACAAAATACATAGTAAAAATAAGAAAAGCAACAAACCAATAACACCTTCCTACAA